CCCCAAAACCCCAAAACCCCAAAACCCCAAAACCCCTTATTAGATTCGAAATATTGAGGAATTAATCTTTCTTTTTATAGAAGTAAACGAAGGCCTTGTCATGAGGAGGATCAGAAGTAATTACAACTTTGTTATCATTGTAAAGTACCCAGTCTTCTCCTTTTTTGATATGTGCAACATAGTGACCGGAATGAATTGAATTTCCAAGGTGAGTAATGAAAGCATTGAGGTCATATACTCCAGGTCTTGGATCTACAATCCACTCTTTAGCTTCTGGGCCATCTTGTTTTTCTTCTTCAAACTCATCCTCTTCGGGGCCATGGGAAGTAATATAGTCTAAAGCTTGCTCAAGATTGTTGTTAAACTTGATCAGAGCTTTTCTAGATCTTTCAGGATCCATTCCCATTCCTGCTAGCATAGAAAAAGATCCTTCATCAACAGATACTGCCTCCTCAACTTTCTCCTCTTCAACTGGGGCTGCGAATCCACCTTGTTTAACCATTTTCTTTTCTTTTGGAAGGGGTCCATTTATCACTGGATTCTCCATATTAGAGAAGTACCAAGTAACTGCTGCATCAGCCCCTGAGTTTCCTGTACTATGCAAGGCATGCTTTGCTGCAAGCTCAGGTAGGCCCATCATTAAGCATTGATTCAATTGGTCCTGATTAATTTCTACATCAACTTCTACCTCGACTTCTCCTCCATCTGGAAGAGCTGTTTCGCCTTCTTGTACCCCTCCACTGACTTTATAAGGAGTCAGGTCAAGGTCATCAAGTATGACCTTCAGAGAAGTATTGATCTTTGTTGGTGTCCAGTTCTGAAAAGTAAATCTTTGAGCAACTACTATCATGACTTCAGGGAAATTTAAAAATCTAGTCCTCCTTAAAAATGTCTGCTTTCCTGAACAGCCTGGGCAATCTTTTTCAATGGCTTCATCAGATAGGAATCGTTCTAGGCCGTTCTTCATCTCCTCTTCTTCAGGGATCATTTCTTCATCAGAATCTTTCATGATGAGCAGATTTAATTGGTTAGTTTTCTCAGGGATATATGCAACTCCTTTACAGGCTTGGCATTCGTATCTATGTTCGAGGCCAAAGTTGAACATCTGACAAGGATTTTCTCTTCCTCTCTTAACTTCCTCCTTTTCAATAACTTCCATGAAGTACTGCAGATATTCTTGGGAGTCTTGTTGTCTTCCAGAGGAGAACTCTTCATGGCCTTTACCAATAAGATTCTTGAAGCTTTGAGGTCTGATACCATCTTGATACACCTCCATCTGCTTCTTTTCCTCTTCAGTTTGTTGGTCATGCTGAGGAACTGGCTGTTCTTTCCTCTCTGAGTACTTTCCTGACTTGAGTCCATGTGCGAGCTTGGATAATTGGCAATCATAGCACTCGGTTGTGAGTTTGTCTCACACCTTATGATGGTCTTCATACATGTTATAAAAATGATTCCCAATTCTATCGTAGGAGAACAAAACCTGAATCACAGAGTTTAGGTAGCAAGAGTTGCCGAGGTTTATCATTCCAGTATTTCCTGGTCCGAAGATTGGGGTCAGAACTCTTCCTTCCTCTACAGCTTTTGAGAGAGTTAAGGATAAATTGAGTTCCAAGTTTATTTCAGTTAAAGTCTTTTCAGTCTTTGTCTGAAGTCCCATGTCTATTCCTAAATTCTGAAGATGCTCTCCAAGCTTGGAATCAAATATATCGTCATTACATTTGTAGCAGTACAATGAAGCAGTTCCTTGTGGAGTAATTGTACCCATTTTGCATACAACCGGATGGGAAGTAGATTCAAAGTGAGCTATAGCATGACTATTTCCATCAAGACCTCCATATTGCTGTCTTCCACACCCAAGATGGCCACAAATCATACAGAGCCAAAGGTTTGCTTTAAGGTCTCACTCTCCACATGATGCTAGTGATTTAGATGCTATCTTCTGGCATTCAGACTGATCAAGATTCTTTACACATTCACATTCTTTAATATCTTGTTCCCATTCACCGACTTGAGATTCAAAGAAAGCAGATTTTGATAGAAGGATACTATCAATAATCGGAGCAATGAAAGCTCCTGTCTTATCAAGTTCAATGTTTCAAGCGAGGCAATGCAAGCTGGTTACTGTATCGAAAGGGTCATCAATACCTCCACCACCTTCTTTTCCTATAGCTAGTTTAGTAATTTTCTGGGGTTCTCCATCTACAAGCTTGGGAATCTTTTTAATGTTTAAAACGATTGGATTTCCTGTCTTCTCGAAATGTTGCTGTGAGTGTCCTTCATCTGTACAAAAACCTTGCAGGGTTTTTAAGCACAGGTTAATTCCATTCTCTCCTTCAGGGTTGTTATAACACCTCATGCATTCGTCTTTATAAATCAAGGTGTTATGAAAATTATCTTTCACAAATTCTTGGGTTAAGTGATGACAAGCTGCCATTTTCGACCAAATCTTCTTAATTAAATGATTCAAGTATTTATATTAGCAATGGGGTTTTGGGGTTTTGGGGTTTTGGGGTTTTGGGGTTTTGGGG